GGTGCAACGACGTACAACTGGCAGATACAAAGAGTTTGAACTATCGGGTACGACCCGGAGTTCGATTCTGATGATGCGGACGGCCCTCAAACAAAATACAACGCATCTTGTGACGTGCTTGTGAATGATTCATACCACGACGACAAGATTCTACTACTACTTGTCGCGTCAGTTGGACCAGTACGGACGTTTGGACATCAGAAGGTACTGAGCGGAGACCGGAACGGTCTTATAAAGTGAAGACCAAGTACAACAAAAGCACCAACAACACACGCCAAAACGCTCAAACAACCAACTACTACATGATGATGAATGTTCCGCTCATTGTACGCCCTCTCGCACACAAGAACTACACCTACCATTCATAGAGAACAGACCGCTACTCAAGGCGCGCTAACGGCATAAGCCCAACACGCTTGACATCAAGGTGACCCACGTTACCGCCCCGGCCGCCCCCCGTAACATTCCTCTCAGCGGACCCCCTAACACTCGGGAGAATATGAGCTCTCCACTCCCCAAACGGCGCCACTCTGTAGTCAGAGCAAGAGCCCCTGCCGTCCCACCCCTAACCTCTTGAGGAACAGCCTCCGGCCGGAATAGCGGGAGCGAGAGAGGCAATGCGTGCATCACAACTTGTGTGACCCCCCCCCGCGTCACCACGAGCAAAATCCTGCGGTCAACGCTCGTCCTATCATGGGCTATTTTCTCCAAGGGCGACAATATCCCGAATTTTGTGCTCTTCGCCTGACAACCCCACGCTTGCCCTCGCGCGCCGCTTCAAGGGGAACAAAGCCCACGGTAAACCTCGCCCCCCCCCCACCTCCAGGCTTGTCAGGCCTCTAGCTCAAAGCGCGCCAAAACTTGGAAGAAGAGCAAAATGCAAGACCAGAACAGCTTGGCAGCTCCTTCCTTTCGCCCTGTGGCCTCTCCACGTTCTTCTTTCGCCAACGCCGCCACCCCCCCACTCCCNGAAGAGCAAAATGCAAGACCAGAACAGCTTGGCAGCTCCTTCCTTTCGCCCTGTGGCCTCTCCACGTTCTTCTTTCGCCAACGCCGCCACCCCCCCACTCCCACCACCCCCTTCCTCGCGCCCGCCCTCCCCCACGCCTAACCCCCCAAATACCTTGAGCGCAGGCATAACTCCGGCTTTCACAGCAGGAACGAAGTTAAGCTACTACTTTCTCCGTTTTCTTTACCTTCCCCTCCTCCTCCTCCTCCTC